AATCCCTATACACTTTTTTTGATAAGCCCCTTTTTAAGTTTAAGTCTTGCTTTATCTTCAATAACGAGTCCCTGTTGTGTTTTAAATAGAATTAATATTTCTTAGGTGAGATTTCCGATAGTAGCAGTACCATCTAAAGGTTCTTTGATTGAAATAGTAAGTTGAAACTTGAAATAGTAAGTTGGATGATTCATGAACAAAACCTGTCCTCTATTAGAATTTGCAATCATAAAGGCATTAAAATCTTTGCGGCTGAAATAAGCATTAATTTTTTGTCGTACTAATAAACAAATGTAAATATAAAGTTCTTTATTAAAATGTGCAGAACTTTCCTCTCTTTATTACCTTTTGTGTCAAATGACTCATAATCCAATTGAACAACCAAAAGGTTATACTCAAGGTTTTAAAACACGACCTGATGAGTGATCTAGTTAGGTCATCGGGTCATATCAAACCGGTTTAAAAGTTGGGTCAAACCGTGATTTCATCATACTGATGTCAGTGTGATGATATCATTCTGACATCAACATGACATATAAAAAATAATAAAAAACAGTTTAATTGTTGAGTCGAATCAATTGGACCGATGGTTCGTAACAAAAAATACGGTCTAATTGTGATTCAAACTAGGTCTTTTGAAAATTCTGGTTTTTTAATTGAACAAACCTGGCTCGATCACCGATTCCCGATTTAATCGGTTGAACCGGTCGGGTCGGGTTTTAAAACCATGGTTATACTAAACACACATCGTAATTTCATATTAATTTTATGTATAATACTACATATACAATATTTCTTATATAACTTGATGTGACAAAATATAATTAAGTGATTTTAAATTAAATGACATCTCATATAAGCATGACAATAAGTTGGTTCTTCAAATTTTGGATATGATTTTACGCCACAATAAGTTCTACCAGGGATTTGGACTCAACTATAAATGAGTCATGGATATAACTTTAGTTCATAATCATTAATAAGGAAACCAATCTCGTGTACTAATATTATTTACTTATTAATATAATGTTTATAAGATTGGTTTACTTTTTAATGATTATGAACTAAAGTTATAAGTAAATAACATTAATATTAATAACTTCAAAGTATGTAACTTTAGTTCATAAGATTAGGGGATGTTAGAGATTGGATTTTATAATGTTTATAAAATCTTTGCAGCTGAAATAAGCATTAATTTTTTGTCGTACTAATAAACAAATGTAAATATAAAGTTGTTTATTAGAATGTGCAAAACTTTCTTCTCTTTATTAGTCTTTGTGTCAAATGACTCAGAATCCAATTGAACAAACAAAAGGTTATACTCAAGGTTTTAAAACACGACCTAATGAGTGATCCAGTCAGGTCATCGGGTCATCAGATTGGTTGATCAAACCAGTTTAATCATCGAGTCGAACCGTGATTTCATCATACTGATGTTAGCGTGATGATATCATTCCGACATCAATATGACATATAAAAAAATAATAAAAAAACGGTTCAACCATTGGGTTGAACCGATTGGACCGATGATTCATAACAAAAAATCCGGGCTAACTGTGGTTTAAACTGGGTTATTTGAAAATTCTAATTTTTTAGTCGAACCAACCCGACTCTATCACCGGTTCCCTGTTCAATCGGTTGAACCGACTGGGCTTTAAAACCATGGTTATACTAAACACACATCGTCATTTAATCTTAATTTTATGTATAATATTACATATACAATATTTTTTATACAACTTGATAAAATATGATTAAGTGACTTTATATTAAATGATATCTCATATAATCGTGACAATAAGTTGGTTCCTCAAATTGTGGATATGATTTTATGTCACAATAAGTTCTCCTAGGGATTTGGACTCAACTATAAATGAGTCATGCACGATATAACTTTAGTTCATAATCATTAATAAGTAAACCAATCTCGTCTACTAATATTATTTACTTATTAATATAAAGTTTATAAGATTGGTTTACTTTTTAATAACTTCAAAGTATGAAACTTTAGTTCATAAGATTAGGGGATGTTAGATCAAACCCCTCCAACTTCAAAGTATGTACAAATTAGATGAAATCATCTAATTAATANCTCAACTATAAATGAGTCATGGATATAACTTTAGTTCATAATCATTAATAAGTAAACCAATCTCGTCTACTAATATTATTTACTTATTAATATAAAGTTTATAAGATTGGTTTACTTTTTAATAACTTCAAAGTATGAAACTTTAGTTCATAAGATTAGGGGATGTTAGATCAAACCCCTCCAACTTCAAAGTATGTACAAATTAGATGAAATCATCTAATTAATAATTAAATGAATATACCTATACGAGGTGATGTTCTAGGACATGATGACGTCATCCTTATCCCTCTCCATTATCTTTTTTTTTTTTTTTTTTTTTTTTTAAATGAATAAAATAAAAAAGGGTTGTTAGGTACAAGAAAAGTCAAGCCGCTCAGAAATTAATAAAGTACCTATTAAATAAGGGAATCCATAAGATTGCATTAGAATTGTGGTATCCGAGGGTGACCACTAACCAAAAGATTATCCTTACTCTTAATCTAATATTAATTTTAAGAAAAACCAAAAAGAAGTTGGAATGATTTTACTTGCTTCACTTAATAAAATCCATTCAAAAGTCACTCAGTTTTGCGAGCTAAACAGTAAATCCAAACTTCCAAAGTCACTTTCAATCTAAGTTAGGTGGAATATCTCGTAGTTGTACATGTTCAGTCTTTTAAACCTATCGAGCAAGGTAAATTGTTCGGTATAAGGTTTTTTCATTAATATATCTAAGAATCCTTATCAAACCATTCGATAAAGAAATATTTTTTATAGGTAATTTTACAAAAGTAATATTTAAAAAAAATTATTATAGTAAAAAAAATAAGATTCTTTATAAGCAAATGAGAGAAACTGACATGAGACTTGGAATGATTTTTTAATATTATTATTTATCTTTTTTATTAAACCTCTTATCCAAACAACTCTTTTGCGCCGTCATTTTCAGCTGGTTCCCAGTTCCCACCCCACACTTATGTGGAAGTAGTTGTGTTTGCCTATTGTCTAACAAGCCCCACATTTCTTCTAGATTTATAAGTTGCATGGAAGCTTCATGGCAACTTACATGCTAATTACTTAGGTTTATTGAAGGGCAAGGCCCGATTGTCCCAAAAAGCCCAACATTTCTTATAGATATACATGCTGCATGGAAGCCCAAAATTTATTTTATACCATTGACATAGGAATCGGTGAGCGGAGTTTGAGGAAGAGTTGAAGAAGAGAAGAAAGAGTTGGTGAAAGCCAAGGAAGGAAACTTGAGAGAATTGGAAGGAAATGTTTTTGGTTTTGTTTGTGTTTTAGCTTTTCGGGTCAGTTAAAGAGAACCAGAGTTTTTTTGGTAGATGATAGCTGGCGGTGATGGGGGTAAACAACAGACAACGGTGGTTTAAATTTGATTTTGGGAGAGATTTGATTTAGGGGAAGGAGAGCAATTTCAATTTTGGGAGAGATTTTTTATTTAGGGGAAGGAGAGAGTTTGAAGGGAATGGAATTTGAATTTTTTCATAGAATTTTTTTTTGTTTTTTTTTTGGGAGGTGATGTGTTAGCTCGTTGACGTGACAGATGAGGTGCAAAACTAAAGTTTTGTTGTACTAATAAACAAATGTAAATATAAAGTTTGACGTGGCAGATTAGGGAAAATCTTTGCAGCTGAAATAAGCATTAATTTTTTGTCATACTAATAAACAAATGTAAATATAAAGTTTTTTATTAGAATGTGCAAAACTTTCATCTCTTTATTACTCTTTGTGTCAAATGACTGAAAATCCAATTCAACAACCAAAAGGTTTTAAAACTCGACTCAGGGAGTGTCCCAATTAGGTAATCGGGTCATCGGATTAGCTGGTCGAACTAGTTCAACCACTAGATCGAACCGTGATGTCACCGTGTTGATGTCAGCCTGATGATGTCATTATGATATCAAATGACATATAAAAAGAACTAGGACAACTTACCATTTGGGGCAATCTTTTTTCCCCAACTTTATATACTATATTTTAATTATATAAGAAATCGTAAAGCATCAAGGTATCTTTATTCTTTATTGTTGTTGAATAAATTAATATATCATGATAACAAAATAAAGTACCTATTAAATAAGGGAATCTATAAGATGCATTAGGATAGTGGTATCTGAGGATGACCACTAACCAAAAGATTATCCTAGGTTTTTTGAAGGGCAAGGCCCGATTGTCCTAAAAAGCCTAAAAAGCCCAACATATCTTATAGATATACAAGTTGCATGGAAGCCCAAAATTTATTTTATACCACTGACTAAAAATATTTTATTGAAAAAAATTACTTCAAAAAAAAAAAAAAAATTATGGTTTTGCCCCAGAAATTATTTTTAAACGTATCTTCTGAGGTTTGTGTGCAATTCAATCCATATCTCTCCGTTTATATTATGTGGTTTATACCATAATCCAGATTCTGTATCTAAAATCTGAACCAAGTAAGAAATTTAATATTAATATAAAATACATTTGCATTCCTTATTTTGGCTTCTTTGGTGTTACTACAGCTCTTGAAAAAATTGACATTCTCTGCGTGTTAGAAGCTCTAGACATATTATTTGTCCCAGAAGGAGTCAGCTGGTTTGGTGTTGAAGCAATAAAAAATGATACTTGGAAGTATCTAGAATAAGAGATAAGAGAAGAAGAGGTAAGAAAGAACTGGGAATTCCAAACACACCGCAAACTTCAAAGAAAACTATCTCTGACTCCGATGGAAGGTCGTCTGCTACTCGTGAAGTGGGCAGGAAGTCTAAACGTGAAGATGATACTGAAGTTTCATAACCTTAACTGTGTAATGCAAATTTAGGCCATTATGACAAAAATGGTAGTACCATAAGTACAATATCTTTGAAGAAAGACATCTTCAGCATGTATAAAAATTTAAATGACTATATTTTGTGGGACATCTTCCCAGGAAACATTACTCATCCCACTTCCAATTCAGAAGTGTTCTCAACTGCTGCCCATCGGCAAACCAGTTTGAAGATTAATGTGAGAGTTTGTTGGGGACATTTAATCTCTTGGCAGCTTCAGTCTAGATGGTCCAGAGTGGTTTCTCAAATTGAAGTCAAATTTGACATTGATGCCAATGGTATTCTCTCTGTCACCGCTGTTGACAGCGGTACAGGGAAGAAGCAAGACATCACGATTACAGGTGCTAGCATCTTGCTCAGTGATGAGGTGAGTTTGATTCTAACTAGCTAATTGAATTCCAAAATTGCTTCAAGTTAAGACCATAGGCTGCTTCAGACTATTGTTAGGAAGTACTACAGGACTTAGGTTTATAATAATTCACTTAAGAACACATACAATGAAATTTTATAAAGATCTCCATATAAAGTGATATAGTAAAAAATGAATGGAATAATGAATTTAATGAGTTTGACTTTTTGTTTCACTATTCTATTTATTTTTTATCATCTCATTTTGTATAGAAATCTTTGTAAGATTTTTTTGTAAGTATAGTATTATTATATGATTAATGGTATTACTGTTAACGTGGATTCATGTCTTTTTTTTTTTTTTAAATATTTGTCGTGTTTGTTACCAGATTTAGGTTGCATTTAGAAATGAGAGCTAGTTATACTTCAAGCACTTTTAAGGTTAGATCAAAGGAGCTTTGAATGCAATCAACTTTTGACCTATTTGATGATTTTTTCTCCAGTTTTATAGCAAATGAAATTTCAGAAAAGGTGGAATTATCAGGCAGATTCGGTTGTCTACCAGACAGAGAAGCAACTAAAGGAGCTTGGAGCCCTGTCAAAGAGAAAGTTGAGGAAAAATTACAAGGGCTAAAGAATGCAATTTCAGGAGGTTCTACCCAGGGAATGAAAGATTTCCTTGCCTGCACTTAATCAAGAAGTCATGCATCTTGGCCAGTCCCTTCACGACCAAGCCGGTGCTGGACCTGCACCCTGCAGCTGGGGCTGGGGCTGAAGCTGGCCCTTCAGATTTATCGGCATAGAGACCGGACAGTGATGTCATTGACGCTGATTTTACAGACAGAAAGTGAGAAAGAGCCAAGTTTTTTTACCACTCTAATTGATTGGAAATGTGTATAAGAAAATGATTTTGTAGGGATAGAAGATGGTTTGGGTTGTCTTTTTGGTTGCATGGAGAACGGATTTGAAATGTGTATAAGATAGAAAATTCTATCTCTTCATTCCAGAGCCATGATCTTGCATTCTTTATTTTCTTATAATAAAATTTATGATATTTCCGAAACTTCATCAAAAGTTTTACATCATATCTTAATTGCTTATTTCTAGAATTGAGCAATGCCACATAATCAGTGAATAATTATTTATTTATTCTAATTTTCTATGTTTTCTTCTCCATTCCTATTTACTTTATTATTTCAGATTTAAAATTCTTTAGTTCTTCTTCTCCATGCTCTCTTCTCCATCATCGACAAACCAAACTCAAACCCAAATCACCGAAACCAGGGTCCGGCCCTGTCATTTCAAAGCTTCTAAAATCTAACGGAGGAACCAAAAGAGAGAAGTGAACCGAGTGACCACCGTGGATTCTCCGAAATTCTGCCAAGACCTCCGTCATGGCTCTTCTCTAGAAAAGTGCGAGTCTCTAAATACGGTTCCAATGTCCTCTTTCAATTGAATTTTCTTGGTTTACCTTAACATTTATATGCTTTATTATGCACTAATATTTTATGTTATTCAGCAACTGTTGCTCGTTGGAAACATTGAAGCTTGCTTGTCCAAAATTAACAAGTCTGTTTCTTCAGGTATGCAAATTTGCCTTCTTTAGTCGAAATCATTTATTACTTGGACTTGTCTTTTTAAATAGACTACTTTGTGGCTTTTGTTCTGGGTGATTTAGTTGAAGGTGCTTGATTTTTTTTACTCGTTGATCGTCAGTTACTTTGCCATAAAGTTCATTGATATGGATAATTGTGGATCCACTTTCTGATGGATTTGTGCTTTATCAAATTGCTGGAATTAGAGAATCTAGACTAGTTTCTTCCTGGTGGCGCTCTCTCTACCCCATTATTCATCATGGAAAAGCAGTGACCTGGTTTGTTCTCAATTATCTTACTATCGGTGTCATATTTATTTACTTATATGCATTATTTTTACTTCAGCCTTATTTCAGTCATTATTAAGATTCATTCATTGTGTTCATTATTCTTAATCGGTGCTCTTAATTTTTTTTTTTTTCATTGCATCTTAATGAATTGCATGATACTGTTACCATTTGACACTGTTTCTTAATCTTGTGTTGCAATGGGGGGTCTCTATTAGTCTTGTAACATCAATGAAGAAGCGGTCGAAATTGCTATATCGCAATGTAGCATGCTTGTGTGTATTATTAATGAATTAGTTCTTCATGCAACAGAAGTTTCGTTTATTTATTGTGCATGAGTTATCATTAAACCTTTTGGGGAAGTGGCGTGTGGAAGTAAAAGCAGTGTTTACTTATTTATCTTTTTTTACGTAGGTATGTTCAATGAGTATGGGGAAGTTACGTGCAGCTAGCATACCCTAGTTTGAACCGCATCTTCAGCAGCTAACAGATAAAATGATGGAAAGATTTTGTTTGTTTTAGCATTTTCTAGTGCGGTGGGGTTTATTTCATTGAGGTGGTAACTAATGGTTTATAAAAAGACAATGTTAGCCTATTAAATTTAGTTGATGGTCAAATGTTTCCAGTTGAGTTTATATTCATACCATGAGAATACCCTGAATATAATGCAAAACTTAGGTTCCGTTTGGTTGGTTTTTGGGAATACTATTATTATTTTCAAAAAAGTTAAACAGTAAAATACCAAAAAACTCACAATATTATCCAATATTATTCAACTTTTTTAAACCCCTTAAATTTGTTAATTTAATTAAATACCCCTAAATATTTTTTTTCGAAATTGCAAAAACACCCCTAAACCCACATTATACCAGATTCCGGCCACTACTATTGGAAGTTGGTTGGAATCTGATGTAATGGCGCACTACCGGCTGAATCTGGCCGATAGTGCGTCGATCTAGCCTTTTTCGGTCAGATCCACGGTGGATCTAGCCAGAAAAGGTCAGATCTTTGGCCGTAACCAGACGTCAGCGACGGCCAACATATAGTAGTCATTGACCATCAACGACGGCCGTATCTTTGGTCGTCGTTGACCATCAATGATGGCCGTATCTTTGGCCGTTGTTGACGAGCAAATGCGGCCAGATCTAACAGTAGATCTAGCCTTTGCCGGCCAGATCCACCGTGGATCTGGCCGGCAAAGGCCGTATCGACGCACGACCGGCAAGATCCAACTGGTCATGCGTCGATACGGCGACTCCGGCCACCCTCCGGCGGTTGTGGCCGGCTATGATTATTCAATGGGTGGGTTGGGGGTGTTTTTGTTAACTTTCAAAGTTTTATTATAGGAGTGTTTAGTAAATAAACAAACATTGGGGGTATTTTTATTAATTTCCAAATCCTACATCGTAATATCCGCCCAATTCAACTTTTTTTAACTTTTTTCAAAAAACTTTTCTAAAAAATGCAAATAAGTGAACCAAACGGAGCCTAATCTTTCCACATATCAATCCCTTACAAAAAATGATAAGAGACTCAATTTGTCACCAAAATATGCACTTAAATTTACAGTATTGACTCCAACTCTTTAATTTCTAGGTCCAACAATTCCGTTGCTTCCTCTTTATTTGCACGTCTATAAGCATCAGCCATAGCTTTTCCTTTATTTAACACTTCGGAAGGAACAGTTTGGAGGAGGCAATAAAGAGAGAGAACATCAAGAAACATAAGTTTGTTTAGACAAGTATAGGTATTTGTTGATGCTTGATTTTGACACCAACTATTCGCACGTGAGAAATGCTAAGCGGGCTTAGAAGTCATATGCGATATAAGAATATTTAGTTAAATAACGAGTGAAAGGCAATGTTTAAAGTGGTTCGGATGCTCAAAAGAAAATCCTACGTCCACTGATGTTGTATTAATGAGAGTAAGGTCATGTCACGTTCAGCGAGTTGAGTTACAGCTTAGAGAACGCAAGAGAGAGAGAGAGAAAGCTATTCTAGAGTGAATTTAACTAATCCTACAAATGAGAGGGGAAACCTCTATTTATAGTAGGATAAAACAAGGTAATGATTACTAATTTTGCAAGTGAGTAGGTACAGTGCAAATCCTTCTCTATGTCCCATTGCTCACCTGTCCGAGTGATTTTCTTGACTTTTATAGGAATTAGACACGTGGACGATTTCAAACCATTCACTAACCAAGCGCTCATCCACTGCACTGACAGTGACATACCACTTGTGTCATTATACGATATGGCCGCATCTAAATGGTCATAGAACCTTCTCAAGTTCTAATCATGCCATGCTGATAAGACTCTACCTCAATCTCACTTTTGCCGGCATAACAATATTCAATAGCTAAGATAGAAAACTGAAGAAAGAATTATATATAATTTTTTGTTTGTCGCTTTCATTGATTTCAGAGAAATTTCTCCTTTAATAATTAATGCACGCAAAAGCAAAGAATCCAGATCTTCCAAGGCCCTTTATTGATTGCTGAGAAATTTCTCCTTCATTTATTGATGCAAGCAAAAGCAAAGAATCCAGATCTTCCAAGGCCCTTCAAAGGCAGATAACTGGATCAAAAATTGGTTTAATTAATGCTATTGCTGCACAACTTTTAACAGTGTGAACTCACCGTGAGCCATACTGTACACAAAGCATCCAAGCTTTTATGAAAAACAGCAAAATTTAGAACACTCTGCTACTTGAAGTTCCGAAGAAAATTTCCAAACCTCAAGATCTTGTACACAAAAACTGTCATAAGCAAATCAGAATGAGAATATAGAGTGATGCTCTAAGATGAAGCAATCTTTAATATAAGATTTTATAATAATAATAATATATAAAACTGGATATCCATTTTTTATGTGTATAACCAACAATAACATAATCAACAAAAGAAAAGTGAATGTCCATGACAATGCCAACAATTTTAGTAAAACAACTTTATACTATAAATATTTCTAGGAATATACTACTTTAATACGATTTTATCTTATTATTATTATTTTTATTATATTATTATAGAGGCACTGGCAGGGTTATGCATGAGCTATTTATAGGCAATCTTGCAGCTGGGTGGGTTATGAATAAAAGTAATATTTTTATAAAAAAATATTATAGTAAAAAAAAATAAGATTCCTTAAAAGCAAATGAGAGAAACTATTACAAGAGACTTCGTCTGATTCTTTAATATTATTTTTTTCTTTTTTATTAAATTAATAGGATCACACACAACCAAGTTGAGACCCATTTGGGATTTGCTAAAGCTTTGAATTAATAAATATTAATCCTCCTTGACTCTCTAATCTCAGCCATGTGTTTCTAATTTTCTTTTACCAGGGTTTAGGATGAAACTTTGTTTAATGAAGTGATTCTCTTTTTAAAAGATTAATTTCCATTTATTTGTTCTTCATAGATTATGGTTTTTACTTATATAGATAATTGAATTATATTTTCTTTCATCATTAATATCAAGTATTTTTGATAGTTAGAATATTGATTTAATTTACCTATGCTTGCTCTAAAGAATAATGTGATTGAACCAATAATGGACATCTTTCTTTCTTCTCCACAGCCGCCTCCTTCTTCCCTTTTTTAAAAGAACTTCCCTTTTTTTATAGCCAAAGTTGGACTATCCAGATTTCGTAGTCTTCAAACATATCCAAAATCGAGCATGATAACTCCAAAATCTAGCAAAGTCACGATAATATGAATTGTAGCCCTTCAAATCAGCTTTGCAACGCTTCA